CCTGGACATAAAGAGGGAAGAGGTAAAGAAGCTAGACCCTTATTAGCACGACGTTATGATGGGGCATTTGTCATACAGGAAACTAATAAGAGGGCGTTTTGGTTAGGGAGTATGTCGATCGCGGATCTTTGTTCAGGAATAGCATTTACTGCTGCGATAGGGTCTTATTTCTAGAAAAGCTGACGAAGGACGGTCGGGTGGTCATATATGAGATGAACTTCCTATGAGACCACGGAGTGCAAACAAACACTTCCGAAAAATGTCTACGGTTGATGGTTTTGATGTTTACCAAATTCGGAGTGCAGCCCATCTGCAGCACAACAAAGGGCAGCATCAACAGTAATGTGTCCATTGCATCGTCAAATGGGCAGCAAAATTTTTCAAAGTAATGTCCTTGCTCACTGTCCAAAAAGGCACTATTCTAGTAAATCTTTAAAAATCAGATTGCATTGAGACTATAACTAGCTTCCTGTCTGCGGCACTGGAGTAACTTTTATTCCTGTGAACAGATTAGACCTACTAAAAGCAACCGGTACGGGCCAGGGGGCATTTTTGGGCAAAAGAAAAATTTGCCTTCGCCCTCCATAATTACAAAAAAGCACCATAAGCACTGGTTACTCCCACGTCTGCCGGACTTGTCAAGTGATGAGGGACAATCAACAAGTCCTTTAATTTCTTGTATTTATTAATACTTCTTTGCTCTCCTCTTTTGACGCACTACCCCTCATTATGCACCGCCATGGCTAGTTCTTAGTTAGTCGTTTGGAATATATCTGTTTTTTATCTTACTGGTTTTGACAAACTTAACATTCCTCGAGTTTTAGAGAACGATGTACAAACTCACTTGAGAAGAACGATCGTTTTATTAGGTAGTAAATCTGAAGATGCAATTTCCATTCGTATGCCTATGGAAATGCTTCTGTGTCTAGGCGAAAGACCACAAGCTGCCGTGCATGGATCGACTTTGAAAGATTTTCTATGCTAATCAATTTTATACCCTCACCCAAGTGTTACATGAATTTGGACTCACACTGGTATTCAAACCATGGCTCACCGGAAATCAAATCAATTATTCGACCACTGCAAGCACGGTACTGAAACAGATAGCAAGAACGGCTCCGACCACACTCCGTGGAAGGTTTGGCCACGTGCCTTCGAGGGGGCTCAGACTGCGCATAGATCGTTTTAAGGACCCTAACAATGGCACAGGACGCTCCACAATGGTTTCTGATTGTCTCGCAGATCCGGCACAAAATAATATCAAAACCTAGACGTCCTCAGTAGCAGACTACGAACTCGAACGAAGGTATATTCTCAAAAGCAGCGCTGTATCAAAGCGAGTGTTACCATACACGATCACAAATAAAAGGGCTCGACTGTATGACGATGGCAGAGATGATCGATTTTAGGACGTGCACTGCAATCATTGGTGTAACGAGGATCTGTGCTCTGCATTTTAGGATTGAACAAATCTTGGCATGACAGTTACAGAAGCCCCAAATGCATTTCAGATATCAGCGACATTTGAAGGACGCACCAGACCATACACATAAACTGATCCAGAGGTGAGTCCGTCTCCACAAGCAGGGTTGATAAAAATACAGTAAGTGTCAGTGCGACATGGCGCCACTTCAAGAGCACTTCTTTCACCTTCAAAACCGGGAGAATGAGGTCGTTAATGAAGTTGTCCACTTCTCGTAAGTAAAAAGCCCGCCATCTACGGAGACCCCGGACAATATGGCGAAACCGAATAACAGCGAGCTGCCTGGCGATCATTGATGTCTGTGAAATTGATCTTTTATTAGAATACCACTTCAGAGGGAATGAAGTTCCTTAGACAGCGAAAGGCGCCCATACTTAAGCCAAGTCAATAAAATTGGTGAGATAAACAAAAAGACCAGCACCAACTCCAGTTTTCAGAAACTCTGTAATCCGCGTTAGATCTGACGGTAGAACAAGAGAAAAGTATACTTGATATTTGGCACTGTCAGTGAACCAAATGACGCCTAATTGGAGTGATACGACAAACTTCGTTAAGAGTGCAGGTAAGCAAGAGACCAGGAAGTTGTGCAAATTCGCAGAGGGTTAAAAACGTTTGTGGTCTTTTTGTACAGTTCAAGTTGAAAAAAAGAATAAACTCTGGTAGAGAGAGCAAAAAGCCGTTTCTACTAATGGTGCACATAACAAGGCAATGTGCGCAACATTTGTTACCATACTTGAAGCATTGGCAGCCGGCAGTGTCGAAGTAAGCATTGCGACTCCCCACACACAGAAACATAGGATTTCTAATTGGTGACCGCCGAGTATCCTAGGTTTGGCTGAGAAGTGGTGGCAGCTGATATGTCGGCCAAAAGGGTATGGATGGGAACTAAGTACAGACGGGATAGTTCGAAAAATCTGGCTGACATATGGGATCGAAAGGTTGACAAGGGAAGGTGGGTCAGGGCTTAGATTTAGCGAGTGGCCTGTCACATAAGCCGTGATCCATGGTGAATCTGATTAACTGACTGGACACCGACGGCACGAGTAACCTGGCCTTACTGCCACATTTCCACCACTAGCACGAATCACGCGATGGGACTGCCAAACGGGCCGTGCCTAAAGGGGCTGCTGATAAGATTCAGTGAAGTAAAAATTAGCCCTAAGGCTAACTGTAGGAGGTAGTCCCGAGAAGTGTGAGGTTATCGGGAATTGAATTAAAAATAGAAACGGGTGTACTGCAAAATAAGCTTGGAGGAGACAAGACAAAAGCTGAAAAGTTAAAAAAGAAATCTTGAAAGGTCAATTACGTGCAAATAAAGACGGTCGAGCCTCGTTCAATTCTTCTTGAAAGATGATGCGTTTTTATGTGCGCAATGAGTTCATGTTGTGACCGAAACTGGGACTGGACAATTGGAGATGATGCTCTTCCACTTGACTGAGAAGAAACCACTGAGAAACAAGCTTCGCAAATCCAGGCTTTTTCCATTGTCCGGTATGACGTACCATTCACATTTTATTAGGGAAACCACCGTTTCACAGTCATTTGCCAATACACAACCAGTTGACAAATGTAGGGTGTCTTCAATTCACTGATATTAAAGTAAGATATAGACCAACATTTATTCGGTCGCCCGAATATCTCGCTTTTTCTGCGGGGAAATGAAAAGGATTTTCACGCAGCCAACCACTAAATTTTACTTAACAACGATGTATTGTATATGGTTATGATTTAAAAACAGCAACAGTCAATTGATTACTTGCCCTAATCACCGCCTCGAATCGATTAAGTCAAGGTCGTTGGTGTTTAACGAACAATATTTGTTAGCTAGGGAGATGGACAGGAATAACTCCTAGAGTAACTTATTAGGTACTGTTTTTTGACATGGGGAAGAATCTGAAAGATTACCTCACAGTCTCCGTTAAGAGACGATTATCTAGGAAATCGAAATGCCTAAACTAAGGAAAAATGTGTCCCAGGTGAGTTCAGAGAATTTTTTGTAGTACAGCCCTTGAGTTATCAAATTGTGAGAGTCGTATTCGGCAAGATTTTGATTTAATGTCCTCTAATTTCCTAAATTTATACGAACATGTGCGCCATTTTCGAGACGGCATAGAGACATGAAATACAGTCAATTTGGTTTCGCCAAGGTACCTGTACTACAATAACGAGCTCTCACCTGTAAGTGTCAATACAGGCAAACGGGACATTTAATACTCCATAAAATTTCCAAAATGGTGGTCCAGAAAGGCAACAACATCTTGTACTTCATTAGACTTGTTTACAATTTTTGCTTCACAATCCCCTCGATAAGTGCTTTCGCCTTTATGCACCCCATCTGTTGCACAGAGCGGTAAACTGAATGCCATGGGGGACGAAGATTTTCATCTCACCTGGACAGGGCGTCGATGATTTTTATTGACTATAATAAGCCGTTCATACGTCTAATAGGTCTGGCAAATTTCATATCTCCTCTAAACAAATAATAAATAACTACAACTAGGCATTGGCTAATCTCTGTGGCCATGGCTGTCCTCTCGTACCGGAGGATCACTTTCCGCTTGAAGACATAAGCCACTTAGACGGCCGCCCACAAAAACCCAACCTCAAATAAACAAGTTTGGGTCAAAAAACGGCTTTTCTTCCGTCCGTGGATGATTAAAAACTGGGAGCTCTATAAAGTAAGACAGAGGTCACCAAGTCGAAGCACCAATTAAACGGAGTTGGACTGTTAGTTGCTTTGCACAACACAGATGTTCGCCGTAGGCTTTAAAACGTTATTCTTAATTTTCATTTTTTCATTACCAAGGCGGTGTTAACGACAGTCGTTCGCGACACGCATGTCGTATAATGCCTCCGAATAAACTGCAAATGTTTCCTTTTTTCAGTGAATGTAATTCGGCATGCTCAAAATACCCTAACGGGGACAGCCGAGAGTTCCGTCGGAAACCCTTAAAATAATTATAGCATCAACATGCGTGCAAAACGCTTGTGATGTGGACGACTGGCTGACTTCGGGCTTGAGCGTGTCCCATCTTGAAGGTTGCAGGTAATTCCACTACCCGTGTACTTACATATTTAAAATCCGAGGACAACCCTAAGGTAATTAATAGGGGATTTAAAGTTTTGCGTACTTTCCACGCTTTCGCATCGAAGCTGAGACACTAAATTTGTCGAAGTCGTCCTGGATGGGTGTCACAATGTTGGTCTACCAAAGAATCTTAATACGCAGGCCCATATATAATTTAACTTTTTGCTTCCGCCCTTCAACGGACAACTTAATTTTTCAAGAGCCGCGTCTAACTGTGCCAAAGATACAAAAAACCACAAGCTTCGACCTCTACTAACACGAAACCTGATTTCAACGTCACTTTGTGTTCATGGTAACTGCTCATATTACTTTGCATGAATATCTTTAGGCGACCTCAAAACTTATTAGGAAGCGCATCCCCAGTGTCACCTTTTCTTGCTGGGGAACCACGCTGTCTGCAGGCTGACTGTGGTCGCAGACGCAAAACACATGATCGAAACAATCAAAATCGAAACAACCTCTCTCTCTTCCTCCTCCCCCGCCTTGTCGCCCCATTCGCCAGATTGGTTGGTTGAGTCCGCTCCCTCTGGCAGCCTGGAATGTTCGTTCTATTTTCGACAATCCGAGGAGCAACCAATTGGAACGGAGGACGGCGCTGGTGGCTTGGGAACTGGCGGGATTGAAGGCGGACATCGCTGCAACCAGCGGGACCTGGTTCTCCGAGCAATGCTAACTGGAGGAGGCGGGTGCAGGCTACACCTTCTTCTGGAGCGGTCGCCTCAAGGCAGAACGACAGGACGATGTTGTCACCTTTGCCATCCGGGACGACATCGTGGGACGACTGCCCAGTCTGCCGCAGGGCATAAACGGTCGCCAGATAATCCCTTAACTGTCTCTCCGGGGAGGAAAATTCTCCACCATCATCGGCGTCTGCGCTGCCCCGAGGCCGGCCCCCACGCCGCAAGGGATAAATTTTACGAGGGCATGCACGCCCTCCTGTCGATGGCGGATAATTTGATAGTCCTTGGTGACTTCAACCTCCGCGTCGGCACAGACCACGCTGCTTGGAGAGGAGTGCCGGGTACCCATTGTCTCAACGGCTCTAATTACAATGGCCTGCTGCTTCTACGAACCTGCGCAGAACACAGGCTCATCCTGACCAACAACAACTTCCGCCTCCCGATGCGAGAGAAGGCAACCTGGATGCAACCTCGGTCGCGACAGTGGCACCAGCTGGGCTATGTCCTCGTCCGGAGGTGGGCCCAACGGGACGCTGGTGACAAAGGAGATCGCGGGTGACGACGGGTGGACCGACCATCGCCTCTTCATCTCGAATTTGTGGATTCGCCCACAGCCTTAAGTTTGGCGACCCGAGGTAAAGGAAATATTGCCTTGTTGTCTTTGTCTGCTCACCATCTCCATTTCAGCAACGAGCTAACTTAACGGCTAACAAATCGTACGGAAGCCGTTGTCGCCGCCACCGACGAGAACGCCGCGGTGGAGGACCGCTGGTGTCAGCGGCGGGACACAGTCCAGTCGACGACGCTGGCCGTCCGCGGTCACGCACGCCGCCAACATCAGGACTGGCTCGATAACAATGACGTCGCCATCAGCAATCTGCTCGCCGAGAGGAACCGCTGGCAGAAAGTCTACGCTGACCGCCACACCGACGACAACGGAGCCCCTGTATACCGCAGTGGTCGCCCTGTACAACAGCGGCTGCGCGAGGTGCAGGACGCTTGGAGGACTCGCAAGTCCGAGAAGATCCAGGGGCACGCGGACCGCAACGAATGGAAGAACTTCTTCTCCGCGATCAAAGCCGTCTACGGTCCGCCGACCAAAGGTACTGCACATCTTCTCAGCACCGACGGTATTATCCTACTCACTGAGAAGACACAAAATATACAGCGACGAGCCTAGTACTTCAGAGGCGTCCTCAACCGCCCCCTAACCATCTTCGACGTCGCTGTAGCGACATTTAAGTCCGTTTTGTTTTAATCAGTTACAATACGCTTTTTAATGAACTTGACACAACTCTGAACGAGACAAAGAACTAGCACGTGCATTTTTACCTGCTGACGACTTTGTTCTTATTTACTAGTTTGTAACTGTTTGGATACTTCTATCTTCGTTTCCCGGATAGCCTACATACTGTGCCCAACTAATGGGTTTATCACTTACACCGCTATCACCCGTCTGCCTCAATTGGAGACCAATGTCGACCCCGACCTCTCGCCCTCTCCCCACGAAAACATCAGGGTCGTGCAAAAGTTCTACAACGAGAAAGCGCCCAGATCGGACGCGATCCCTGATGAGATCTACAAGCACGGTGGCCACCACCTTACGGATCATTTGACGGTGCTCTTCCAGGAGATGTGGCGTCAAAGAGAAGTCCCCCAGGATTTCAAGGACGCCGCAATCGTGAATCACTATAAACGGAAAGGTAACAGCCAGCTCTGCGACAAGCACCAAGGAACCTTTCTGCTGAACATCGTCGGGAATATCTTCGCTCGCATCCTCCTCAATCGTCTGAACAATCATCTGGAACAGGGTCTCCTGCCGGAAAGCCAGTGAGGCTTCCGTCGTCATCGCGGCACCACGGATATGATCTTCGCTGCCCGTCAACTTCAGGAGAAGTGTCAGGAGATGCGGAGCCACCTGTACTCTACCTTTGTGGACCTGACGAAAGGTCTTCATCTCGGTACGGAACAGAAGATGCGCAAGGCCGTCATCCTCACGACGTTGCAATTTGGAGCAGTGACCTGGATGTGTACATGAAGTAGGCACGCTGACTCAACCACTTCAGCCTCAGTTGTCTTCGGCAAATACTGAAGTTGAGGGGGCAGGACCGGATCCCAGACACGGACGTACTGGAGCGGACGGGAATTGTCGGCGGCTACGCTATGCTGAGACAAATACAACTACGCTGGAGCGGCCACCTCGTACGGATAGACGACGAGAGGCTACCCAAATGATTCTTCCATGGTGATGTCGCGACGTGTTCCCGCCGACTAAGAGATCACATCCGGCGCTTCAATGCGCCTGGAGCACCAATCTACACTCGCCGCATACGCCTCCACTGTCTACATTGCACTCGCACATTTATTTACCACGTGGGTCTATTAGGCCACATGTGTATTCACGAAAACCTGCGGTCGACAACCGATGGCCGCACCAAACCATCACATCCTCCCCTACCAGCATCTCACCGCACATCAACATTACCCATTGCAAGCACCTAACTGCCACCTCCCACGCAAGTGGAAAGTGTGCGTATCGGCTCCTTATTCATGCGGTTCGCTTGCCGCATGTATAGTCGCAATCTAAGACGAAGACAGTATGTCGAGCGTCGTGGCTCGGAAGGCAGCCGAGTGACGCCCCATTTCTTCAAATGGGGCTGGTGGTCTGTGACAGGTAAGGGTGCATGGATGATGAGTTGATCTCCACCGACTGAAAAAATTATCCGCCGAATGACGGACTGCAGAGTAAACAGCCCTCCCCTCGAGTTGAGACCCGGCAGCGAGACTAAAGACAACGAATTTCCATCACTACGGAAGGTTAGTTCGGTGGATCCGGTACCAAGAAATCGTAGGAGTTGTTCTGAATGCAAAAAGAGAGTGATAGCCTTTTTTCTGAATAGACAACAGTTTTAGGGAATGTCTGCGTTCCTGGGTGACTTATTCCAGGTAGCAATTATGTTATCAGAAAAAAGCTCACAATATTACCTGCACTTGTCAGAGGATAAAATTTGAGCTCGTGGTTACTGTTGTGCCGAGGGTATTTAAGATGCTTAAAAGTGGTCACGAAATAACAATATGACAGTTTTCTACCTACATTTTAGAAATTTCCCCTTTTTTAATCGGTGAAACTGCAAAGAACCAAGGTCTTTAAGTCCATAATGTGTACAGTATGTCTCATTTCGGTGTTCCAGAGTTAAAATTCTCTTGGTGAAAGGATACTGGACGGATCCTATTTTTATTGGTTCACCATCGCACAGAGCCTAAATCAAAATGAACAGTATTCCAGGCCAGGTCTGTGCAGCTCTAATAGAAACGATTGTCTAATTTGTTTGTATTCAAGTCTGGGGGATTCATCTGGTCATCGTATATGCGCTGAAGACTACCAGAGCACAACACTCAGAAAAATTGTGCCCCTTGGATTTCGATACACCGAGATGCTTAACAACTCCCCGTACACTTATATGGTGATCATCAAGGCTTTGTTAAGGTCGATGGTAGCCACCAAAACCATAGCTGAGCACCTTTTCCAAGAAAGGGAAAGACGTCATGTGCAGCATCGCAGAGCAAAAGCCTGAGTGTCCTTTTCCAAGATTTCGAGCAAGGCACCACGAGCTGCCGACTTCAGTCAGTCAGTGTATTTGAGGGAAATAGGCTTACGCCTGTGAACTCCTGATTTGTACATAAAAATCGATAAAATAAGCAAAAATGTGAAGAAATTACAGCATTGAGTGAATGCAGACATTGATTCACATAGGTCACGGCTACAAAGCCACATAGTTCACTTGTTGCTGCAGCATATGACTGCCAAGCCGACACTTAAATGTCTCCACAGATTGAGACATAACGATCATCTCGGGCAGGCAATTCCACGGTTCCACGACACGGTTGGAGAACAAATACGTTCTCACATTCATTCTACCTTGGGGCACACGTAGTTTGAAGGGATGTTCCGGAGTTTAGTTGTAGTGGCGAGTTGGAAAAAGCCGTCGTACCGAAGGGCGCAGTCTAAGCCATGCAATATAAGGAAAGTTTGTATCAAGTCTCCGCGCAGCTGCCTATAATTCGGAAGATAGAGATTCAGGTTAGTTAGGCGGATCTCGTATGGCCGTGCACCTTGACCTCTTAATAATTTTGTGGCTCACCTCTGCACCCTTACGAGTAGACTGTAATCCTGCTGCGTCCACGGACTCCAGGCCTGAATTGCATATTCGAGATGCGCCTTACAAACGTGCCGAAGACTTGGAAGAAGCAGTCTTCATCGAAAACTGCGAATGCCCGCTTGATGACATATACCATTGAAGTTGCGGCCTTAGCCGCCTTACAACATTGTGTAGAAGGCTTTAGGCCGTCTGCAATCCAGACTCCGTGATCTTTCTGCGTTTCCGCTTCTGGAAGTGGCATTCCGTTCAGATGGTATTGCCGCGTACTAGGGGTCTGATTTTCGAGGCGCAGTATGGTACATTTGTTCAAATTGAAGGAAAAGAGCCATCTGCGGAATCACTCGTCCAATCGGCAAAGATTTTCTTGGAAGTTTATCTCATTGGCAGCATTCTGGGCGGCTTTCCAGATCTTTATTTCATCCGCAAACAAGGCACTAGCACAGGCCAACCCATCTACACAATCATTAATGAACAAGAGAAAGAGGGTCGGTCCGAGCACTCAGACTTGCGGGACTCCACTCTCTATGAATATGTGCCTTGATTGCTGTTATTCTACGCAGAAAATGTGGGGACGGCCGACGAGGAAATTCCCGATCGATTTGAGAATTTTGCCGCCGATGCCCAAGACTCTCAACTTGTACAGGAGACGCTGGTGCGGAAAACTTTCGAACGCCTTCCGGAAATCAATATAGGCCACATTCACAGCGTGTGTTGCATCAGGTGCTCTTATAAACTTTGCATTGTGTATAGCAAGTACGTTAAAAATGATCTTTCCCTACGAAAACCGTATTGCGCATTGGACAAGAGGTTGTTGGTTTCCAAATAAGTCATCAACTCCTTCTTGATGGTTTTATCCACCACTTTGCACCAGATTTATGTGAGACTGACGAGTCTGTAGTTCATCGCAAGAGCACGGCTACCGCTTTTGTAAAGGGGTGTAATGTGGGCCATTTTCCAGTCTGTGGGAAGGATTCCAGCATCAAACGATTTCTGGCACAAAAAGGATAGTGGTTTAGCCAGCTGACGGGCAAGCTCAAAGAGCAGCTTTGCTGGGATCTCATTCGAACCGGGAGATTTACATTGCTTCAAGCTTTTTGTATTTGTAGGCGACTTTCAAACCACCGGCGTACATAAGAGGCCTGCTATTCCGGAATAAACCTGGAAAATCATTGACAAATTGTAAAATAATAGCGGACCAAACACACTACCCTCAACAGATCATTTTTTCACGAATGCGGGGTTGGTGATAACATTAGATATCTCAGCCCGTTGTGTGCGAGAGCCCCGATTATAAGCTATAAAATTCAAAAGTTTACCACTTATTTTGAAAGAGAAACGGTTTAAGAGAAGGAGAGAATATTTAACAGGATCAAAAGCCCTGGTGATATCTAAATAAACTGCTTGAAGTTTACAACCTTTTCCTAGACGTATGATACAATCAAAGAAAGAGGGCTGCCAGGGGTCACATGATCGAGTTTTTGTAGACTTCAAGTTGTGCTCCACTCACTAGACTATAATCTGTCAAACGACGCATTGTCTTATATTTCATAAAAATTCCCCAAATTTTTGAAGATGGCCAGGTGTTTACTAACCGAAAGTTGTTAAATAATGTCGGACATCTTTTCTTCAGTCAAGACAGAGTGTGTGATTACTTCCACGAACTGGGATCGGTTTCGCTTTCGATAACGAGACTAAATATCATACAGAGGGCAAACGGGAAAATCTCATTTACGTCAACCTTAAAATGCAATCAGGGACACTATCCGGACCAAAGCTTTGGGACTGACGAAACCGCCGCATGGCAACGGTTACGTCCCACAGGATAAAACTTATAATCTAGAGGGCAGCTCCGATTGAAGTCTTAGTGTCCGGAGGCGGAGCAATCGAATGTTCAATAGGAGTTTTGGACAAGAAAGCGCTATAACTATCAACAATCATCTTAGCATCTACCATAAGATTTCAGAGAGCGTCTCGGAAAATGAGATGTTGCGTTGTTTTAAGAGATCTTATTTTACGAGAATAACATTTTTCGACACTTAAAGAGCTCCTTTCGTTGAAGTCATACTCTCCGGATAACCACTTTTTGGACAGCATCCAAGGTCGTTCAAAATGCGGCGGAGCAATTACAGAACTGAAATGTCTTCCGGCGTGTGGAAAAGGCGAGAGAGTCCTCGCAGTTTACAATAAAATGTTAAGGGAGAATAAATATCGTTGGTCATATTAAGCATCTGCCTATGAAGAACAAAATGAGGTATCAGTGTGCTCAGAAATCGTATAGTTTAACTGTACAAATATTTTAATCATAATATTGGAAGAAATCAATCCGCTCGTAAGAGTTAATATGTAACAGTAATTCCTCCGAATGAAATGATCGGAAATAGAACTAAAGGTTATATATTGGGTAAAACTGCCATCAGCTTCTATTTCTGGTGTAGAAACAATTGTGTCATGGTCAGAACCCCCCACCCCTAAGGGACCATGAGATGACATTAACGAAGGAAGGCAACCTCTGCTGAAAATGAATCAAGTGTGTTTGATCGCTGAGTCGGAAAACCGAGAGTCTAATCTCACATGAAGACAAATATGGCTTCGGGAGGTTCCAAACTTTCTAGGGCCTGAAGGTGGAAATCAACAAATCTTAGACACATCGAAGTCACACGCAAAAATCTGATTT